CTTGTTACCTTGATTGTAGCCTCTAACCGTCTTTTCCATGGTGGGTATTGGGTCTCATGGTTGCTCTTATAGCCAAGTATCCTAAGGATCGCTGATGCTGAGTTGTAGATCAGCTAATTGGTTTCTGTTATGGTGTTGGTAGGGATCGTTCTCAATGCTGCATTCACATTCTCAATCTCCGGGTTCCTCCCTTTTGCCGTAGCATTTGTGTTGTATCTCGTCAATCTTAAGTTGTGATAGCAGTTGCCGTTTGCGGATGTTGGAACACTGAGCTACTAGTTGTTTAGTTGTTTTGCTTAGTGTTGACTGGGGATGTCGAAGTAACCATTCCTTCCCCAGTCTTTGCATGTAACCTCTCTCACTAGGTTACTTGAGTAGTAGCATTCCAACAGATCCACATTTTCATCTCTCGCCCATTTCCGTCTTGTTCCAGTAGCCCATTTGTCATCAAGGTGCTCTGGTTCCCCAACACCTGACGCAGACCTTGTTTGGCCGGGCGACGTCTGAGCCGGCATGTTACGCAACTTAGTATCTCTCATGGTATGAGGTAGGCAGTAGCTTGAAGGGTCTTGCCTAAGGACCCAGACTGGATTCGAACCCTGCCCTCTCGGGTGATATACTGATGCCTTATGTATTGAGCTATCCAGTCAGCTCTGTATATATATATATATATATATATATATATATATATATATATATATATGTGTGTGTGTGTGTGTGTGTGTGTGTGTGTGTGTGTGTGTGTGTGTGTGTGTGTGTGTGTGTGTGAATGGATGTTTGATTTAGGACGAAACAACTAAGATCCATAAATACATCAGGGACAAAGCCTCAACAGACAATGTGCTCAGTGAATGTCTCAGACAACAGGGAACGGAGGTTGAGGTGCCAGAGATACCATCATGGGAGGACAAGCCCCTACATGGGATGTACCACCAGCAAATAACCCAAGTGGCTGATATCAGTAAATCCTACCAATGGCTGGAAAAAGCTGGACTCAAGGACAGCACAGAGGCCCTCATCCTGGCCGCCAGGAACAGGCCCTAAACACCAGAGCAATAGAGGCCCAGATCTACCACACCAGACAAGACCCAAGGTGTAGGTTGTGCAAGGAGGCCCCTGAGACAGTCCAGCACATCACAGCAGGGTGCAAGATACTGGCAGGGAAAGCGTACATGGAGCGACATAACCAAGTGGCAGGCATAGTGTACAGAAACATCTGTGCAGAATATGGACTGGAAACCCCAAGATCAAAGTGGGAAACACCCCCAAAGGTGGTGGAGAACGCCAGAGCTAAGATCCTGTGGGACTTCCAGATCCAGACAGACAAAATGGTAATGGCGAACCAACCAGACATTGTCGTAGTGGATAAACAACAGAGGAAAGCCGTTGTGGTAGATGTAGCAATACCAAGTGATTGCAACATCAGGAAAAAGGAGAAATGGAGAAATACCAGGGCCTCAGGGAAGAACTGGAGGGGCCTGGAAGGTGAAGACCACAGTGGTGCCTGTGGTCATCGGGGCCCTCGGGGCAGTAACCCCCAAACTGGAGCAGTGGCTACAACAGATCCCAGGAACAACATCAGACATCTCAGTCCAGAAATGTGCAGCAGTCCTTGGCACAGCCAAGATACTGCAGGACCCTCAAGCTCCCAGGCCTCTGGTAGAGGACCCGAGCTCAGAGGATAAGAACCACCCGCGGTGGGTGAGAAGGGAATATATATATATATATATATATATATATATATATATATATATATATATATATATATATATATATATATATATATATATATATATATATATATATATATATATATATATATATATATATATATATATGTCCCTCTAAATTTAGCAAACGACCTGCCTGCGTCAGAGGAAATGACCTCATCCTTCCACGCTGGGCAGGGATTGGACGATGTGTATGAAAACGTCATCAGTGATGTGACCACAGAGCATCACTTCTGACATAAACTGTTTTCCAAACGTAAATGTGAAATAGCTGCTTTACAAAACTCCAACCAATTTATGCTGTAAAAAACCTAAATAAAATAATTGGACTGGATTTTCTGATCAAAAGTAAACACACCAGCAGCTGTTTGTTTAGGAAATGAAAACGCTTGATGCATTTATTTATTTATTTATTTATTTATTTATTTATTTATTTATTTATTTTTATTTATTTATTTATTTATTTTCGTCTCCTTTGCTTTTTTATGTTGAGAAATCAAACATCCATTCACAGTTTATCTAACAGAGCACTGAGCTGCAGGCAGAACTCTATAAAAATATCTGGTGTTTTTATTTTATTTAAAAAAAAAAGAAAAGAAAAGTAATATATGAACTTATTTATATTTTGCATAAAACATGGTTATATTTGGTTTTTGTGTGTTTTGTCATACTAAGAATCCAAAAACATATTTTCATCTAGTGAGGGAATCTAAAGATTTTCTCCACTTTTGGCCACTAAAAATAATTTTACAGAATGAAATACTGAGTCAGTACCAGCAGGGGGCGATAGAGCACCATGAAGGCGTCAAACTGCGCTTAAACTTGACCAGAAGAAGCAGCTCCAGTAAACACAGCGGACAGTGGATGACATTTCCCCTGAAACAGTGAACCGTATCGGGCTCAGAGATGAAGGAGGACCCGGTGGAGAGTCCCGTTGAGCGGAACCACGCGGAGTTTCTGCGGGGGTTTGTGACCGAGAGGCTGGCCGCGGTGTCCCGGGAGATCCTGGGGGCGGTGGAGGCGGTGGTGTCCGGGTATGAGGAGGAGGCCTCGGGGTTCCGCCTGGAGATCCGCCGGCAGAGGAACCAGCTGGAGCTGCTCCGGAACCAGCTGGACCAGCCCCAGAACCAGCTCCAGAACCAGCTCCGGAACCAGCTGGACCAGCCCCGGAACCAGCTCCAGAACCAGCTCCAGAATCAGCTCCAGAACCAGCTCACTGTCGGGACAAACGGTTCGTGTCTTTCACTCATTCATAGTCACAGAACGCTGTGCTGCATGCGGAACTCCGTTAATATATACAGTTTTTAAGCTTTTTCTTCAAAATTCTCCGTTTCGATACTATTAGCAACAAAAACTGTGTGTTATCTTAAAACAACTCATAATTGTCTTTAATTCGGCTTTGTTGTAACGTTAATAAGTGAAACATTTACCCTCTTTCATTTGACGTTTTTCCAGATTTACCATCCAGCAAAAGCGATGGATCAGCTGAGGAAGGAGGGTGATGATTGTCTGAAGAGTCAGACCCAAACTGCTTCATCAAGGTTCCGGCTGCTGATCTGATCAGTAGATGACCTATTACACATAATAATGTCCGTTAACCTGGTTCTCGTCTTCAGCTCTGATGGAAGGAGTCCTGGCAGATTTCAGGTCAGTGAAGCACAGAGCGCCATCCACCTCAGCATCCGCGTCCTGAAGGACTCCAGCATCAGCATCCTGTCCAAAACCGGTACCATAACTGTTTATTTCTCCCAGAAATAGACAATTTGAAATGTTAGTTCAATTCGTTTTAATGTTTCCGTGTTTCTCTGCTTCCAGTGGTGAAGAAATGTCCTCTGGTGTCCCTGAAGTGTCCTCTAGGCCTGCAGGAGTTGGACTTTCTGAGCCTGCTCCGGTCTGCTGTCCCCCAGCTGGCTGCAGACGACAAACCTTTTCACATCTGGACGTTGGATAAGCGGCGGAGACTTCAGCGTCTGACTCTGAGTACGGTGACGCCTGAGGAGATCGTCAGAAACGTCAAATCCACGCGGCTCAGAAAGCCTACAGTCTACATCAGACTCAAGGTGGGACAGAAGTTCTGGCTCTTGGCTTGTTTTGTTGCTCTGCAGTGTTAGTTTTCAGGTTCTGATGTTTTTTATTTTCTAGACAAAGAAGGAAATTCAGGAGGAAATTCCTTCTCTTCAGATGGAGAAAAGTTCTGCCATGTTGGTCAGTGAGGAGATGAGGTAAGACGTCCAGATAAAGTTATAGCTTCTATTCATTTGAGTATGAAACAAAAATCTTCAATAACTTATAAAAACAAGAATTTGGGTGAACAACTTATATTTTATTGGAAATTTTCAGTAATTTAAAAGGCGTAATTCTGTAAAACTATTGTTTTGGACTGAATACTTCAGGATTAACATAAATAAAACTGACTATCATCAACATATCTAAAAAAATATTTCATAAAACAAACAGTTCATTCTTTTCTTGGTTTAATTTGTGGAAGGAAATCATCACAACATCGTAGGGAAACAGAAGATGATCCTCTAATGAGGTCAGTGTCAGGTGACGACTCCACGGCGCCTCCTGCTGCTCAGATGGATGGAGATGCAGCTGATGGGAATGAAGGAGAGACAAACCGAAGCAACAGCAGCTGGAAACTAGATGTCAGTGATGAACGGGAAAAGCAAAACCCCAAGCTCATGAATGAGAAAGAAGAAGTCAATCCGTCTGAAGACGTTTGGACAGAAACGGGTTTTTCCTGTAAAGTCTGTAAAACCCAGAAATCTGAGGTTGCTGTCATTAAACACGCCTGGAGACACATGGAGGAAACAGGAAGTGTTTGTGGAGTCTGTGGAGAGTCAGGTGAGGCATCAAAGGATCGTTTTCATAGTGAGCACAGAACAGATGACTCTCCAGAGACAGCCATCCCTGGACAGTCATCCCTCAGTCTGAGTGACCCCCTGAAGGTCCATTCAGGACAGCAACCTGTCCAACCTGAGGTCAGCTCGTTTGTGTCTGGGTTGCCTCTGGAGAACAAGCACAAACTCGTCACGAATGCCCCACCTGCCACGAGCTGTTTGAGGTGGAGACGCAGCTAAAGGCTCATCACAGGACGCACAGGAAACGTAAAACGTACCTCTGTGGAGTCTGCGGCAAATTCCTGAGCAGCAACAGATCTTTGTCCCGCCACAAGATGACGCACTCTGGAGAAAGACCCCACAGATGCCAGATCTGTGAGAGGCGCTTCAAGCTGGCTACACTCTGAAGCAACACGAGAAGATTCACATGAACAGAGAGAGACCGTACCTCTGCGACGTCTGCTGCAAGATGTTCCTGACCAGCAAGCAGCTCGTCATCCACATGAGGACGCACACCAACGAGAAGCCGTACCGCTGCGAGCGCTGCGGGAAGGGCTTCACCACCAGGGGGCCGCTGACCATACACATGCGGGTCCACACCGGGAGACACCGTACCGCTGTCCTCACTGCGGCTGGTCCTTTAAACGGAAGACTCACCTGGACGACCACGTGGCGATCCACACGGGAGCCAAACCGTACGTGTGTGGGATCTGTGGGAAAACGTGCGCCAGGAGAACTTACCTCACCGTCCACATGAGGACGCACAACGGAGAGAAACCGTACAAGTGTTCCCTGTGCGAGAAGGCCTTCACTCAGAGCCACTGCCTGAAGACGCACATGAAGAGCCACAAGGCTGCACAGGCAGCATCGTAGCACAAAGGACTCTGCACTTATTTATCTCAAAGTGTTTCTGGCTTTTAAAGCTGAAATATCTCCAATAAAACTTATCAGGAAGTCTTTGTCTCTTGGGTTTTTCTTCCTCACCATAAACAGTTTTTGGCAATAAAGTAATTTCAATAATTTATAGAGAAACAAGAAATATTAATGATAAAGATTCAGTAAAACAGACCTTCCATGTGGCGTCACATGTATATGAGTTGCCTCGTTATCCTCAAAAATGAGGCAAATTTATTTAAATATTCTCACAAAATGCAGAAGAAATCGGAAACTGTTTGAAATCGATTTACATTTTTCTGGTTTCTTTCGCTCCATAACCAGCTCCACTAATAGAATATATCATATTTTACCTGATAAAATGCCATCATTAGTCACTGAAGTCGTCTAACTGAGGAGAATTTACTGTTCAATACATTCATCTCACATGTTGAGAAAAAGAGTTTTTCTCTTGGACACTTTCAGTCAAACGGTGCTGGAGTGTTTGAACATTAGCACGATTACCATAATTAGCATGCTAACTGAAGTTTTGAACATTAGCATGATTACCATTATTAGCATGCTAAGTGAAGTCTGTAGAGTCTGAACTGATGCTCTTGTGTCTTTGGTTTTTGCATTTCTCGGGAGACGGATGATTGGTCAAACTAATGTTTCTAACTTCAATTATTAAAGAAAGATTTTAATTTTGAGTTGGGAAGTTAAAATAGAAAAAAAATCCAGCGTAAATGTTATAAAATCAGCTGACAGTCCATGAAGACAAACAAATGAAAAAACTTGAGAAAGTATTTTTTACTGTATCTGTTTGTGACAAACAAACGAGACGATTTCATTTGTTGGAGGCAAACAACAAATTTTCCTCATTATTGTTTTAACTTGAGGTCAGAGCATTAGGATCCCAAAATTAGTATTTTTTTGCATTAATTCCAACTATAAATGTACAATAGTTTAAAATATCAAACGTAATAAAAACACTATATTGAATATTTTCCAGAGATTGATGAATTTGAGGTATTCAAAGTTCAGTCACGAATAATTTGAGGTGTTGATGCATCAGCTGCATTTTGCCTGCATATTAAAACAAACATCTTTCAGATCTTAAATGATGTGAACAGAACCAGGTGTGTATTCAAATACACCTGTTGCTCTGGCAACAGCGGCTCTTTTTCACCTGCAGGTGAAGTTTATTAATGAATGTCCAAATTCAGTTGGTCCATTTAAACTTCAACACAATTAATCATCAGTGCAATTAAATTGTATCTTTATGACAAAATAAAATGATGTGTACTTACTGGTTATTACTCATAACTCAAACTATCTGTTCCTATTTCTCAATGAAGCTTCATCTTTGTTTTCTCCAGAGCTTCATGGCTTAAACTCTCTGGACCTTCGGTTTGCTGCTCATGTCTGGATGAAGGTTTGAACTAGGACTTTTATTCCTGACTGATTGTGTGTTTAAATGTTGCAAATTAATGCAAGAATTTAGGACACGTTTCATGGAACGCTGCAAAAGGCAAATTTATTCTTTAAATGTTTTTTTTTTCTACTGACAAACAAAGTGATAAAACTATTTGAATATTATTTCACATCATGGTAGCAATGGGCTCAGATTCTGTCTGCATGTTCTGTCATTCATCTGGATCTGCCTGTTAAACAGTAAATATTAAATATAAAAACTCACCAGGTCTGATCACACAAGTAACATTGATTAATAATCTCATAAATATTTGACTTGTTTTTACTACAAAGGCATTAAAATCCTGTTTTTTATATAATGGAAACTTTCCGTGAACATCAGGCTCTACTGGACTTTAGGCATGAAATAGACTTGATAAACTTCTCTGTATGAATGTGTGCTCATTTTACAACAGTCACCGTTACATAAAGTCTTGTTTTATCTCCTTCATGCGTTATTTGCACAGCACAGCATGTTTTTCTCTGCTCTGTGCAGGAACAGCAGTGGAACGGCCAAACTGCTGGGCAAACTGAACCTACACATGCAGCAACCAAACACCAATCACTGTAGCTCATCGAGTGACACTTTTAAAGCAAAGCAAGCAAAGTATCCTAGGAACAACATCCACAGCGCTCCTGTTATAGTCATTATGGTTTTGAAAGCCTTTTTCTTTGCGCGGTGGACTCGGTCTCCGGACACGCCCCCAGGCCTCGGACGAACCAGAACGCGGAGAACCGAGAGGCTGCAGAAGGAAACCACAGCAACTGAGGCTTGACAAGGAGAAAAGTTGGAGGAAGGGGATGGCAGGGAAGTACAGGACAACCAGCGCCCCCCAGGCAAGAGCAAAAACCCAGACGGCTCCGATGCAAACATGTCTGATGGTGACCCCGCTGCTGTTCTTCAGCTTTAGCTAGGTCATGGGGTGGATGACGGCCAGGTAGTGCTCCACACAGGTCAACACGTGGAACAGAATCTCCCCAACAACAGTCAGTGATAAAATAGAGAAACCAACTACAGACAGGCTTGGAACCACATATCCCAACAGATAGCAGAGCAGGCCTGGAGCTTCGGCCAGCTGCATGAGGACCATGTGGTAGGTGATGACATCACAGTGGCTGAGGACTGCTGCCACCGCCGCCGATGACCCAAGTACAGGACCCACACGGCAAAAGGCACGATGAGGACGGTTCTGGTGTGAGGAAGGCGGTGGCGAAAATGGAAACATGGGATTCCTTGCAGTAGTTGGACTGGAGATGAACCGAAGTGTTAGACGGGACGGACCAGTTAACCATCATGTCTGTGGAGACGAGCCCTGCGGAGCAGGACACAGCAGGAGCGAAGGTTCTGGTCCCAGTGGAACCATCTGACCGCAAGCAGCTAACGATGCTAATTCACTGTTGGATTATGGGAAAAAAAAGACAGTCACCCAATTTTAGCCAGTTAACATTATTGTTGAAAAGATGTTGATTTGTAATCATTGAAATGCCTGTTTATCATTGGCCAGACGTTTTAAATTCATATGTTGACATGAATCAATATTGATAAAGTATCAGTTATGGTTGAAAACCTCAACATAAGTTACCAACCACTTTCTGTATAATTTAAATGTCAATCTTCAACATGAATTCAATATTTCTGACCATATTTCAACATTGATTGACTCATAATTTAAAATTAAAATTCCAAAAATAAATTTTCTCTTTGATAAAAAGTTGTTGCTTTAGGATGAGGTCTTATTTTGGCAGATACAAAACTCCACTGGAAACACGTTTTCTGCATCACACGAGTCACATGATCAGCAGCAGGATGTTACTACTGGAGGAAACGACTAAGAAGACGACAGGAAGTGGCAGGAGGGAGAACATGCCACCTTCACACAGGAAGATCCCAGACCAGGATGGCAGCCATGTTAGATGAACTTAAATGTTCAAATCACTGGAAACATGTGGAACCAAACTGGGTCTTTTACCATTTCTAAATGGGTCAAACCAGATGAACACAGTCAGGTTGATATGGACCCACAATGCATCTGAAGTGGATTAACATATAAATTTAATTATTCACTGGGTTAAAACTTTCCTTAGTTTTGTTTAAAGCTTTATTTTGCAATCTATCTTTACTGTTTTGACTTAATGTTTCACTTCTAGTTGCTTACATTAATTATTTTACAATCAGTAAAGTTCAACTCAGTCACACTTGAATTGATTAAAAATCTCAATCTAGAAACAACATTCATATTTTCATTTTGATAACTTCAGAAATTAAATGGAGCAGATTTTAAAAACTTTAAATATCTCATTGAAGTTCAGAGTTATAAAACCGATAGATCTTAGTGAAGTAGATAATCAGTCAAGTTCAGAACATCTAAAATCATACATCTAAAGAATCAAATCAGTGTTTGCACTTAATATTCACAATAATCTTTAATGTTGCATCAACTCTGTTTAAATACTGAAGACAGAAACTACGGGTCAGAAATACATTTTAAAAAATTACTTACAGTCTCCTTAGAAACCTGTTCAACTCTAGCAGTATGTAATTATAGAACTATTGATCATGTGAGGCTTAAGCAATCAAACAAAAATAAATGTTTAAAGGCCAACACTGTCTGGTTGAGGTAAATTAAATACTTTTCTTATAAAATCTAAGGAACCATCAGAACAACCAGAGAACAATAAGATAGAAATGAACTTCTGACTGTAAACCATGAAGCCGTACCTGCTCAGTGTCTCTGACTGCTGCTCTCTGCTCAGACCTTCATACAGAACATTTTACGGAGGTGAAGTGATGATGACATGGCCGCTGTTTGCATGTCCGCTTTAACAAAACAGACTTCATTAAGTTCTTACGGTACATTGCAGCAGGCAAATGAGAGTCGGGTCGGCTGCAGAGAGGGACTGAACGTCCAGACGTCACCAGGCGAGGTGGATATTTGTGTTTTATTCTCTTTCCCTAAAGCACCAATTATATTAGAAAATAAAGTTTTATGAGTATTTATTTATCTGACTAAATAATCATCAATTTATCTTGATACACTTGGAATAACCAACTTTGAAAGTATTTTATATCATGATGTAAACATTGTTGTTGACTCTGTGAACTCTTACAGTTGTCTTCATGTTGGTGAATCGTGGAGGAAATTTAGAGCGTTAGGTTTTTCACTCAGAATCTCAAAACTGGGTTCATTCTTGGTTTATGAGCTATAAAGTCCACGCTGTGTCACGCTGTGGCCACTGGGTGTCACTGTGGTTCAACAATTATTGTGCCAACCTTTGTAGAGGTCAGAGGTCGCTGAAAGAGCAAACTGTTAGCCACAGCAACAGATCAGCCATTTATAGCTGATCTATTTATTACTTTTAGAGTAATAAATGGACAAACTAGCGCAGGAGCTAACATGTTCATCTGAAAATCTGCTTTCAAAATATGAACTAATTAATTTTCACCTACAGGATGTAAACAACCAATGAATTATCTGGATGTTCATGTTTGTTCATCTAAAACATTTTGATGGAAATAAACTAACATC